AGAACAGGTGGCGCAGAGTGAGGTGTAGCAGCAGCGGCGCTGATGCATGGTTTGTTTATTCCATGGTTGGCGTTAAACCCTCATTTTTTACTAAAAAAGAGTTATGTCCACTACTAGATTTTGGGAGTATTTCGTTCAAGCACAATGACCGAAATACTGCATATTATGACCGAATAGAAAACAATTCGGGCAAGCAAACTAACCGACTTGTTGGACCGAATATGGTCTCCCCGAAATACTATTTCGGAGAAATTTTCATCTTGACCGAAATATATGAATAATTCAGTCAAAAAAAATGACCGAAATTGTGCCTAAAAAATCAGTAAAAAATAATTACATTCGGACAAAAAATATGACCGAAATAATTAATAATATTTTAATTTAATAGGTCGGTCAATACGACTGACCGAATAATATGTCAGGGATATTTTTGGTAGAAAAAATCATCTCTATTTCGGTCAAGTTGCTTGACCGAAATATATTGGAAAATTCTAGATGGATTTCAGAAATCTTGGCGGGAAATTAACTTTGTTTCGGTCAAACCCCTTGACCGAAATATGTTGATAAATTTTGGGGGGAAATTGGAAAAAATAGGCGGTACAATTAACTCTATTTCGGTCATTTCCCATGACCGAAATATATTGGGAAAATTTCTGAGAAATTGGAAAATGTTGGCGGAAGAGTGCACAATATTTGGGGCAAGAAGCTTGACCGAAATATGTTGCCAAAATTTTTTGCAACATATTTCGGTCAAGGTTCTTGACCGAAATAGTGATCCAGATTTGAAAAAAAAAAAAAAAAATCAAATTATTTAATAAATTAATGGTTATTTGGGTTACTTAATGAATATTATAAAAACATTTAGTAGTAAAATAATTCGAAATTTTTATAATTGTTAAAATTAGTATGTACAATTGTTATTATTTGTTTAGTTTTTTAACAATAATTCAAAATTTGTATGATTTCTAGTAGTAAAGTAATTTGAAAATTACATATATTCAATTTAGTAAAAAAAAAACTTCCACATTTGTAATCATAAAAGAATATAATACAAAATACATAAAAGAATTACAATGGAATCATATAAACTAGA